TACATTGTTTATATATTTCATGCATAAGCAGAGTTTCTAGACTACCAGTAAATCAGTTATATATACACGAAAATAATTAATGTAGTCGATTGCTATAGCAAAAATACGTTTACCTCATCGAAAATCCCACCAAAAAATGTGATATGCAATAAACCTGGCCTCCCTTGAAATTCACATCTGCCCTGTGACCCATGGGCACTCTTGACAAAGTGGCTGGGTGGTTAACGTGTCAAGCTCACATGCTGCACAATCACGGTTCGACTCCCGCTGGGGGTGTTGATAAGACCGATGCGAGGTCGAAACTGCAGTCCACTTCAGCCTGGATGAGAACAACTTTTGGTTAAGCAAGGCTGTGTGAAATTCAATGGAAACGTCATCTCTACTCATATCATTGTGGGAAAATTCTACTACAAATCCTTCATCACCTTAAACAAAATGGGGTAAATACAGCTCATAGTCATCTTTATCTCCATTTTCTTCTGGTCTATCTTGTGTCCTCCGCGTCCTATATCATATATATATATATATATATCTCATTTCAGCATACATGAATTCCCGCCACGACAACTACAATTATTGGCCTGTCAAGAGGGCCAAATGATCGGCATGGCGGCCCTGTCGCAGACTCGAGGACCCCTCGGGGTCGGAGAGCCGAGGGCATGCGCAAAGGTCACTTGAGTCCGGTCTCAGGCCTGTGACAGCTGTCAACCTGACAAGGGACTCACAATCGCAGGCATGGAGGTGATAATGCCATGGAGACTGAGGCGCGTCTTCAGGTGACCTTTGAATGAAGCAATATGACTGTCTTAAGGGCGCTGCTGGGCTCGCCAAGCGCAGAGTCGGCCCCGGGTTCATGTCACACAAAAGTCGACTCGGGGCACATGCTGTGGGCCGTCGGCTTCGGCCGGTACCTTTGTTCGGCAGAACGCCGACGACAACTGCCTCTTGATCGCATCTTATGCGTCAAACTATGCCTCAACTCATAAGCAGACGATTTGCCTTCGTCCGACAAGAAAAAACGATGGGCAATTGATCATTTTTAAAGGCTAAGGTGGCTTGCTGGCATTTTACCCCGTGACAATATGTTATCCTTCGGACTAGCCGATGGAAGCAAGGAGTGATTCGGTACCACAAATTAGCCGTATAGAAAGAGACGAAAACTTTTCCAGAACCAGAAGTTATAGCCTTTAATTAGTCTTCTTATACGCA